CCTGGGCTGACAGTCCCTCCCTGTGTTTTTCTCCAGAGAAGACATCTCAGCATTATTAAGAGACCGCACCGTCTTAATTACTGCCTGTCATCGTCTGTACTGTTTCCCTTTTTAGGTCAAATAATTTTCACAGTATTATTTCTATCTATCTATCTATCTTATCTATGCTATCTATCTATCTATTAATCTATCTGTCTATCTTATCTATCTATCTATTATCTACTCTATCTATCCTATTTCGTAATCTGTTATGTTTATCTGACAAGCAACCTCTTTGTGATTTGTGTGAATAAATAACTGTTGTCTCTTCAGTACAAAGGGTAGTAGAGTAGTGTGACCATAGTTATACCAGAGCAACACCCTTGGCCACATCATGTTTACGCATTCATCTTGACCCGCCAAAAGCACAGAAGTATTTCATCCAAGGTAGCTGCAAGTCCTGGATTGTAGTAAATGGTAATACATTTGGAGCTTTTTATGGACCGGGTTGGAGTTTCCTTGGAATGGATTCGGACCAAATTCACATTGCATGTTTGAAATAAACTTCAGTTAGTGGACCAAGGCTATATCAGGGCTTTTTGCCAAATATTGGACCCCTCTGAATAGCCACAAACCTCCAACCTCCACTGGGACATGCAGGCTCTGATGCATGAATTCATTTCTATATCTGTTATATTGTTATAAAGCCGCCTGGTTGCTTGTAATGTTCTAAATACATAAAATGTTAATATAATGATAACATTTATATTTAAATTGTTTCCTTATACAGTTAACTGACCCCAGGGAGACTGGTACAATATCATACACTGTTCTAGGCATCCTGAAGAAAAACTGAGACTATACAAAAACACTATTGCAAATGTCCGCTGGTTGCATCTGGCAGTTGTGGTGGCATTGCAGTAGCTGTTTTACCATCTGTTGTCTGGCAGAGACATGCACTGTACTGTGTGCACTCTTTTTTTAAAACAAGATTTTCCTCTAATCTTGACCGAGTAGCTTTAGTTGGCTTAACTTAACGAAACCTTAACCATATGTGGCAGATCTCTAAACACTCAATTTAATCATTCTTGTATTGATCATATCGGTCTGTTTGGGAGACACTGAAATTTGGGAATTGTTGGTGAATAAATACAATAATTAAGTAAAAGTAGAAGTATCTTATGATGTTATTTTCACTCAATAATTTACATGACACGACAACATTTTCATATAGAACTTTATTGAATATAACTATATATTTATATATATGTATATATATGTATATATACCTTATATTTTTTGTCTTTTCCAGTGAGGATCGGTATATTGTATTGCTTCCCCTTTTCCTTATTGTTCTTTACATGTATCGGTCTGCTGAGTGGAAATATACCAGTTTTCCATTTGAAGAGTTTCAGGTTTGACTCGTGTCAGTAGCCTTAGTGTTGGGAAAAGGAGCTGGTGACTTACGATGCCTTCAAAATGCAAGTTTAGGATTTGTGTTGGTGTTCAATTAGTGATTTTGTAACAATTCACATATTTCTCAGAAGCATGAGGCCGATGTATTTTGTTGCACTTGTTGTTTACCATGTAAAAACCACTGACAACACCAACACAGAAGACATTAAGCCCATTATCCCAGCACTTAGGCTACTCACAATATGCCACAGGCAGGCGTGAAGCCTTTATAGCCCAAAGTTACAGGTGTAGGAACTCTGAAACAATATAACATTAAGAATATCTATACATACCACCACGAAAATAAATAGATTAATATAAATTCTATCGCCTACAGTTATACACTAGTCAGAACATTAAAAAACACTGATTATTAGGCTACGTTGGTAATGTTTATAAAGTAAAAAAAACTATTGTCTGCACGGAGAAAGACCAAATGATGAATAAATTGCAATTACGAATACAAGTAATAACACTAAAGAAAAAGAAAAACATTTTAAAAATCATAAAATTAAAGAAAAAAGTACAAAAGTAGTAAGATAATAATTACATGGAAATATAAAAGAAAAACTGCATGTGCAACAATAACATTTACAGTAAAAATACAAAAAATGGGATATTTGAAAGAAATAATGGACTAGAAGTCTTAGTTGGTATCTTTAGACTGGCTAGAACAACCAAGATGGAGGAAATTAAATAACAGTTTTGCTTTCTTTAGCAACTATCATTGTGTCCTTAAGGAAGGCACGTGCCCCCCAAGTGTTCCAGGGAAGCTGCTCAGTAACCAGCCGCAGACTGGTCTTACTGGGCAGGTGCCAGTGTGGATGTGAGAGTTAAGATGAAGCAGGGTGTTACTGAAAAAGAGCATGCACGCTCAGTCAACTCTCCCTGTATAAATAAAATGAGTGAAATAATGAAAATGATCCAAAGATGAATTCACACATTATCACCCTCTCACGTTTGTGCACATGCTTTCCACGTGACACCACTGACTTTAGTGTACATAAGCAAGAGAAAGAAAATTCCTTGTCCTTGAAAGGAATATAAAAAAATTACAAAAAGAAAAGATTTCAAAATGTATAAATACCCTGCAATAACCATTACGATCATAGAAACACCAGCAACATGATATTAATACTCAAGGAGTTACAATCTCATGTAACCTAGAGATGATCAATCACTCAGAATGAAAAGACAACCCAAAGATTACCATTTACAGACATTATGTGCTTTTCTTGAAGTGAATGGACCGATAATATACTCAATAATACATTTATTATTCTAGTTTGTGAAATAGTATATAGTTATAGCTAAAAGAGAGATGGAGGGAAGGGGAACTGAAGCTAACTGTTGTGCTCTTTTCTCTTCCCTCCTCCTCCAACTTGTCGTCAACCAGGGTTGGCTTGAATTCATTTGCAAATGCAGCCAATCCAGAAGTGCATTCAGACTTCAGTGTATCAGTCTAATAGTCAGATTTAGGAAATGTGAAAGGTTTCAGTCTAAAATTGTATGCAGTACATGTGTTTTTCTCACTGAAGTTATCTCCGACGACATTTCAAAAACACCCTCAAAAATATACTGCGCTCAAAATCTGATTGTTCTTTAGAAATTCCGTTAAGACTAACTGTTTAACAAACTTCTCTGATACTAAATAATGTGCTTAATTTTTTTGTTATAGAATAAGTGAAGATGGTTGATATCTTATATTGGAGTAACACATGATTTTAATTTTTAGCTTTTGATCTAAGTTCTAACTAAAACACCACCCCCTGAGTGTAAACTGAATTGACCCCCACCCCTTTGCCTGTGGTTGCAGCCCTTTGCAGGAGCACTCAATGGATGCTGCCTTGTAGCCTTCGGTATCGTAATTATCATCGTAAACAGTCATACAAAGCCTGGGATCAATTTTGGCAATTAAACATCACATAGTGCATAAAGGTCCATCTTCACAAGTCCTTTTCATCGACTGTGAACGTGTATTTAGCAACATTTCTAACGTCTGATGACACTAAATGAGCATAATTCATGAGCAAGCTGTTGAAAGTGCTGATGATCAATACCAATAATTAAAGAATTACTTGGCCAGCTACTGACATTTCTGAACCATTTTTTTCCTAGCAACCTCAATTATTGTCATTTTTACCTGCTTACAAATAGAGATGCAGTTTACGAGCTTTAAAATTATTTTTGGAGGTTGTGACGATGGATGGATGGCCGTAGTATAATGTGGGAGACATTGTAAAGTTTGTGTCAAACTTTGCAAACTGGCTATAAACCAATGAAATTGTCCTTTAAACAAGAATCAGTCTACCTCCATGTAGCCACAATTCTGAAAATATTTCACACATATGAACATCAACTCTACAAATTTAAAGTCAGATGAAGTTACATGGTCAGATGGACATTTGTTGCAGTGTTTAACCAAACTGTGACAACTGGCAGTGGTGTAAAGGAGGCGTACAGAGTGAAGCTTTAAGTGTATGGCTATGCTGTTCTCTAGGACTGTGGAGAATGCCCATCTGTCACTGTAATTACCTTTGACACACAATGAAAAATAAATAGGCTCACAGTGTGTCAGCCTCTTCTGGTGTACGTATATGTGTGTGTGTGTGTGTGTGTGTGTGTGTGTCAGTAGGTTAGATATGGCTGAGGTCACTCTCTTAGGACCAGAGGTCAAGTAGCTACTGTTGACCTTGAATTGACAGTCAACTCGTCACTGAGCAGCTTGTTACTTGGCTGAATGTACCCGTCTGTGGCTCTCTGTCCTTTTTAAAACAGAAATGTGAACAGAACTGTGGCTTACACCATCTGGTCACTTTTTTCTTTTATTATTTATAATGTTTTTAAAGACCAGAAAGCATTGATTTGGTGGTTTGCAGGTAAAAAGACGCCTCAAGTTCAAGTTCAAACTGGATGCCGAGATGTGTAAAACTTTCACTTTTAAACCAGTTGAGTTTTAAGTGAAAGGTCTTGTGACTTACAAATCACAAAATCAAAGCTTAGTCGGTTCTTCTTGTTAAAGTTTCAGTTTAAATTCCCATAGCAGCTGACAAAATGTGGAAGGGGAGAAATAACTACTGAGCTCCCCTGCCTCCTCAGCAAGGCACTTAACCCCCAACTACTGCACCGGGAGGCTGGTTTAACTGGGAAGCTCCCAGTTGTATGTGTAGGATTCGAGTCAACAGTGTGAAATGGAGTGATGCTGAAATAAAAAGAAAAAAAAAATTGCTTGTGCTGAAGCCTCCACTGCACCATTGCTGTATAATCAACTTACAAACAAGGTTTTGAAGCTAAAGTCATGACCATTTAAGGCAGTTGTCATGAATTTGCACATAATATCAGGTGTTTTATGACTGTTTATGGTATTGGTAAGTAATTATGGCAGCTAGATACCCCAGGCTCAAGGACAGAAACATTACCATTGAAGTGTCACCAACACATTTTCAGCCCTACTCTTCCTCTCTTTCAACTTAGACATCTCTAACGTCTCTCTAAATTCAATTCGACCTGTCTTTTGTTTCAACACTCTCTCTTTATCATCTCTCACTCCTCTCTGAGGTTTAATTTTAAACTGGCGTAGTTTTCCTGTTAAGTGTATCTGAGTTGCTATCCCTGTCCCTCTTAGCCGTCAGTCGGTCCAGGGTTCCCACGTTGCCCCTATCCCTGTCCCTGTCCCTGTCTCGCTCCATGGTGGCTGTAGATATTGGAGCTGGCTGGGCTGGTGTGGTGGCTGATGTGGAGGTATTCAGCGGTGCTGAATTCTGGGCTACAGCCGCTGCTGCCGCCAAGTTGGACTTGGAGTGAGATGGGAGTGTACCACTGCTTATCACTGCTCCTCCTCCTCCGCCACTGCCGCTGGAATCTTTTGGGAAGTAGTTGTGCAGCTGGTACAGCGTGGCGCGGTCCACGGTGCCATAGAGAGGTGGGGCACCGCCTCCTAGGCTGCCCAGCTTGGAGTCCCTTGATAGGGTGTACATGGAGATGTCGCCGCCTCCTCCACTTCCACTGCTGCTGGTGTGGTGTGGGTTGGGCAGGGTGGCCACAGAGAAGGGTGGGGCAGAGGGTGGCAGGCTGAAGGTCTTGGAGGCGCCAATGGGCGAGGTCTCCTGCGAGTGTGGTGGGTCGGTGGAGCGTGAGCTGGAGCGAGAGCGCCGTCTGAAACGGTAACTGGGCAGTCGCAGCATGGCGTGCGTGGTGCTCTTGAAGAGGTCGGTGCGAGAGCGGCAGCGCAGCTCCTTGTTCTTCTCTATGTAGATGTTAACAGCAAGGACACCCACCATCTCGGCCAGGATGAAGGACAGGCCGCCAAAGTAGAAGGACCAGCCGTAGGAGTAGTGCCACTTCTTGTCCTCATCTTTCTTGGGGGAGATGTCGCTCAGTGCTGCTGAGATGTACACGATCACTCCAATAATGTTGCTGAGGCCTGAAGAAATATACAAGACTTTTACTGTAAGTGCTCCCCTGAGACAAATTAACCTGCAGCTTCATTAAATTGTTTTCCAGGCAGCGATACTGGAACTGTTCCCTCTCAATTAAACAGAGAAGAGGTGGGCATAATATTAAAGTCAATCTTCATATCATACACAAAAACTTCTTATTATGCTTGTATTTCAGTGATAGATCTCAAACAGCTAAATGTGAAATAGCACAGTATAATTCCAGTTTTTAATGGATTCAGACAGATTTAGAGCAGATAGGACATTATGAGTTCCTGTTTTATAAAATTCGAACCCATATTTTAGTTCAAACTCATAGTATAGTTTAACAGTAAGAATATCCACAAGAAACTTCATCTCCAAACAATGAGTGAAAGAACAGAGGCCCCAGTAGTCGTACCTGCAGCTACAAAGAGAATCCCTCCTCCGAGAATTATGTTTCTTTTGCTTTTGTAGAAGCCGCTGGAAGCGACACAGATTCCACCCAGCAGGAGCAGTATGGCGCTGAGGATGGGGAAGATGCTGGAGGCTCGCACCACACCTGCAGATGAGGACACAGACACAGACACAGAGAAATATGTCAGCTTGTGTACTGAAATGTCATCGTTTCTCAACTTTGTCAACTTTCTCCGGGCTTTGTTGTGTATAAATATGTTGTGTATAATATTCCTAATGTAGTACAATCAGTGAGGTTTTGTTCTGAGGTTCAACACCATTTGAAGGTGCAAAGTTAACAGCCTTGTGACACTCTGGGAGAAAAAGTGTTACCAAGATGTGCTATAGCTGACACTACAACTTGGCTCTGGAACAGCAGCTATCTATTTATATAAGTTTACTACATAATATTTAGTACATAATGTATTTTGCAGAGTTTTAAAGACATGTGGGTTAGGTTAAGTTATTAGAAATGTAGAATGCAGTGTCTTTGGAGACTGACCTATATTAGGGACTTAAGGTCAGAATATCCTTTCCACAAACTTGATAAAATTGCAATTCGAAACTGCTGCAATACTCTTAAAATAATGGCTCATTATTACGGTAGATTGCAACATGACCATCACCCTGCTCACCAAGGGGCAAACATAGTACCATGGTTATGGGTACAAATTACCACAAATACCACAAATAATAAAATGTTTGTTGCCGTGGGGAGTTTCAGAATGACAATATGAATTTTTTGTTTCATGGAGGTGACAGCACAGTGTCACATACAGAACATACTGAGCTCCTGGAGCAATTTGGTGTTTGTCAAATTGGAGTTATTTGGTCTACTTTTCAAGTAAACAAGTAGATCTCCTATACTGCTGACCTGAAATTCAACTCTACTGACTACAGGGCGAGGGTATGAAACATAAAATCAATTACCTATATCAGCAACAATTATAATTTCCTTATCCTTATCTATTGACTCTTAATAAGCAGTTCACAGCCACTGCTGCCCGACAGCTTAGGACCTTCAGAATGGCTGCCAAAGGTTCACTTAAAACCGTTTACTCTCTACTACTCTAGTACATTTCTCTGCAGGAACTTAAAGCAGTGGTGATAACGTAGAGAGACATTATAGAAGATTAAAATGCTGAATAGCTCCATCTCTGGCAGGGACATGTGGAATAGCAGAGCCTTCAAGTTTTCAAGGTGACTTTTCAAGCTGTGTTAGCCTCTGAAGGGAAAAGATAATGCCGTGATAAGCATATATTCATAGGAGTGTCTCTCAGACATGTCAAACAGTGGTTGCAAGTGATTCTCTGAATTAGTTTTAGAAAGGAAAAGGGATTGTGTGGGTGGTGTTTGCCTCTTCAGCACAATTTACTGATATTCTCATAAATAGCCAGTTGGGGGTTTGTGGAGATTTTCAGACCTTTGGGGTGCTCAGGTGACAAACCTACTATGTGGGACCTCAACAGAATAATTAGTCAAATGATAATTGCCTCCTCCAATGAGGCTGGACGTTTAGTTCTACTTTGTGTGTTACAAGTAGAGCTGAAACGTCAATAAGTCAATAATGATTTCAGTCATTTTGCAAGCAAAAAAGACAAACGTGTGCTTGTTCCAGCTTCTCAAATGTTAGAATTTGCTACATTTATCACATATATTTGTGTATTGACTATCTTTGGCTTTTAGTTGGATAAAATAGGCAATTCGAGAACATCACCTTTGGCTCTGAGACTTTTTTTTCTCTGCTATTTAAATAAATGTATCTATTAATAAAACAGTGGTCGATTTCAAATACTTAGATAGATTTCATTAGACTTTGGTGGAAAGTAAGTTGATGGACCAGTGGAAGAAGCTTTAGTTTTTGGGGCTGATATAAAAGTTTGCAAGCTAAGGTATTTTTGAAAATTTTCATTATTTTCTCATTAACAGTTAGCAGTCATTAGAATTAAAAACATCTGAGGCACATATCCCATAATTGTCTATGATTCTAAATTCAAAATATTGTCCATTAATAAAACAAAGGATTGTGCAGCCCTTGGAGAGATAAAAGCTTGTTCAGTCAAGGTTGCAGAGCACAGCAGAAGCGAGAATGTAAGATAGCATCACAGCCTTCTTTGCAGAAATAGATACCTTTATATAATGTATGGATGGAACATATACTTTGTAAACCAAAAGGTTCAGGGCTGTACGAACAGAATTTGCTATCACAATGGAGGCAGGATGTGAAACCTGAATCCTGAGCTGAAAATAATCCATTAGTGAAGGCTGTTCTTTCAATCCATCTGTGGAAAAAAAAGCTTTCTGTACACCCCCAGACTCCCAACCCCATGCACCTGGGCATTTAAACACACAGACACACACACACACACACACACACACACACACACACACTGTAGACACACACACTTACACACACCTCCAGGAACACTTTGCTTGAATCTGACATCCGTGCATTGATGTCCGCCCACCATCCCCTTCTGTCCTTTCTGTATCCGCGTGTGATGGAGACTGTAGTGTGTGTATGTGTGTTGTGTTCTGTTGAGATGTGTGTATGCACACTATGTGTAGTTACGGGCTGAATGTGTGTGTGTGTGTGTGTGCATGTCACTCACGCAGCAGATACTCTGCAGCATCTTGGTCGTAGTCTGCGTCGTCTGGGAAATGGTTGATCTGGGAACACACACCTCGCTTCAAGCCTGAAAAAAGACGGAGAGGAAGAGGAGGTGAGGGTGCGGAAAAAGAAGAAGGTGGAAAAAAGTAAAGACCAGAAGAAAGAGAGGAAGACAGGTGAAAGACAGAATGGTGAAATTAAATGAAAGAGAGAGAAAATGCCAGACAAGATTAGGCAGAGAGAAAGCAATGGGGAAGAAAGTGAAGACAGACATGGGCAGGACCAACAAGAAAAGAAAATAATTTAATGGTGAGAGGGAGAAGAAAAGGAGTCATAGGGGAGGGAGAATGATATGGAGGAAGAGATGTAAATGGAAAGGGAATAGAAAAGGAGGAAGAGGGAGTAAACAGGCTAACAGATGTAAAGACAAGACAAACAGATGAATGGATGAGAAAGTGAAACAATATCGTAGATGCAGAAAGTGGCAGATTAACACAGCAAGACAGATCCGAGCTCAGACAAATAGTTGATGAAGGCTGTACGATGCTTTGAGCTTAATGCTAAAGTCAGCATGCTAACATAACGACAATGTTAACATGCTAATGTTTAGCAGGTATAATGTTTACCATGTCCATGATCTTGGTTTAGCACAATAGCATGCTACCATTTGTTAATTAGCACAGCTGATGCTGACTGGAATGTAGTTGTTCAGTTATTTCTTCAACATATTGGACTAATTAAAATGATTACAATTTATCCTTAGGGCAAGTATAGATATACATTTCAATCCATCCAATAGTTGT